CCGCAGCCTGTCATTCACCAACTCACCATGAGTGTAGGCCACGTAAACAATTTTAGGTATTTTTTCAAGGCCAACCCATCGTGCTTAATTAAATTTTAGCTGATTTTCAATGCTTTTTTGACTTATTTTAGCACCTATTCGAACGCACTATGATGCGAACTGGAGCAAACATTGAGTGCTAGTGAAGTAAGTGTACTTTGGGCACACTATTTGCCAATTTAGAGCTCTTCCTCGTCGTCGTCCACTTCAAATCGATCTCACCTGCCACGTTGCTCGTGTCGTGCCTACGCCTTTTGCAGGACTTATTCCTACGCACATTTCTGGCTGCTGACACCGCTCCTAGACCGAATGATGATGGATTGGCTTGCAACACCACCACGTCGACGACGTTGGCAGCAGATGCTACTCCAGACTGACCCAAATAACAAGCACTAGTCGTCCAAGGACAGACGTGTGGAGCAAACCTCTTTCCCCGAGATTTTCTTTTTTGTCAAACAGCGATTTCAGACTGGCTCTATTCGCGTTGTTTCAGTGAACCGATCTCTGTGCTCAAGAGACTATTTGGTAACCGTTTGTTGGCCATTATCCAGCAACTGACCGTTCATATCTAAGCACACGTTCGCTGATGTATGATTGGTTAATTCAGAGCTTTCAATCACAAATTGGATTAAAGTCAATGCACATGAGGACACAAGCACGAATATTGTACAACACGCCCCACAGCTTTTCGAGTATACTGTGTCCTCCGTTGTCTTAAAAGTGACGCACCAGCAAGTATGGTTTGTAGTTTTTGCACTGACACCTGAGGAGCTGACAATAAAGAGGCGATTAGTTGAAAAACCTCGGCAAAACGCGAGGTCAGTATCAGGCTGTGATGTGATTCCTAGTTGGAAGGGGTGTTAAATATGCTGCCTAATTCTTGACGGCACTTCCTAGGTTTGGTCCAGGCGAATCCATTGCAGCGTCACCCAAAAAGATGCACCGCGTGTTTTGTTCTTTTCCTTTGAAGGGTGCTCTCACGCAAATAACATTCGGCCCAGACGTCATCTCACCGCAGGTAGCAGACGAATTGGACGAGCTACTTCAGGCATCTAGTGACGTCCTGCTGGTCAGGGAGGCGATTGAGAAGTACAAGTTAAAGTAGCCACACACCCGCACCAACAAACCCATGCCGACGTTGGATGAAGAGCTCTTCCTTTTGCCGTTTGCACTTGGGACTTGTGTCGGCAAACACGCCGGGCTGAGAGACCATTTGCAATAAATGCTGTGATTCTAGAACCCTGTCTTTCTACTTCAGCTCCGTGACGCTTAACGTAAATCCGTCTGTAAAAGCGGTTGCAGATAAGTCTAATGCACCATAGTACGCCTGTGCACCAACAGCACCACTTTAGACTACATTTCAGGATATTCTTGTCGTTCATATCTAAGCACACGTTCGCTGATGCATGATTGGTTATTTCAGAGCTTTCAATCACAAAATGGCTTAACGTCAATACGCATGAGTACCAAAGCACGAATATTGTACAACAGACAGAGTTGTGAAGGGTAAATGCTGGGACCAGTTGATGCTCCTCAAATCCACACCCTCCTGGTGGAAGACGTGGGCCACCGCTACTACCAAGCAAACACCTCACATCTTGCAGAGAAGTTGGACGTGTTTGACAACCTCCCGGATGGTGTGGTCCACCTCCTCCTCAGTCGTGAATCGACAGAACACAACAGCGATTCTAGGGCTCATTTTAAGATGCTATAGCAGCAACATTGACGCATGATATATATCCGAGAGCGCCCAGTTACGTAAGCTGTAAGTTTTAACACGTCAGGACACACCGTTACATTGTCCGTCGTACACAGTTATTAAGTGAGTAAGGTTGCGATTTAGTTAAATTATTAACCTGACCGTCTTTATTAAGACATTGCCCTCAGTGGGTTACATCAGTACCATTCATGCGTCATCTCTCTGGTTTGTCAGTAAATTGTGTTATATCTAAGGAGCCTTATTGCTTTAAAAGCTACTCTATATACTGCCAGGAAAATTGTCACCCAAAAAGGTTGCAAAGTGCGGGCAACACACTAGTGCATTTAAATAACACGAATTCTAGCATGTTCAGTATTGTCTTGATGGCGCGATTTTATGTGTGTCATTTAATATACATTTATTTTTAACAATACTAAAAAAATCTTGTCTTACATTTTCTAAAGTACTCATATTAGCTAAGGGTTAAAAATGAGGGGAAAGTCTAGTCTTGGTAACCAGGTTTTCATGACTGCCGTGCCTTCTTGTTAGGTCCATTTTATTTTAGGTAACTCCCAATAAAATGCATAACTTAACTATTTCGATTTTGCACACATCCTGTTTTTTTTTTAAAATAAGCTCACATCGAAAACCTTTTGGTTATCAAGCGGTGAGCGCTGCGAAGTTATATTTGTGTTGCACGATTGGCAATTCATTGTTAAGTAAAGAAGCAAATCGAAAATTCCAGATTATCAGAAAAGCAATATTTTGAAAAAAATTGTTAAATTAAATGCAAAAAAATAAAGGAAAATCGCAACCTACTTTTCTTGTCGAAGGTTTGTTTTAGACAGTGGTTTGGACAAGCGCGTAGTATTGAAACCTGTTTCTGCAATTTTCTCATGTTCTCAATTTAATGGTTCTGCACTCGGATTGTGTCAATGGAAACTGCGAATGCTGAAAGACCTCTAACCAGCAGTTTCGAACATGGCAGCGAACCGGACACCGACATTCAGCTGCCGCTATCTATTGATTGTTCCGAGAAATCACCATATGGACAAGGCTCACCGCCCATATGCTACGTGGAGCTGGGAGGACACAAGTCTGCTGATTCAAGCTTCCATGTAAGCGTTCATGTGTAAACATGATGTTTCATCAGTTGGTGTGATTGAATCTGCCGGAAACGGTGGCTCTTACTTTAGTAAGTACTAGTAAATCTAACTTGTTTTTAGCACACTGATGCTTCACCTGCTTGTGAGATATTCTCCCCACGATGCTCTCTTTACACCCCTCTTGGTTGATTTCATTACCTCTTTACTTGCACGTTTCTTGACTGGTTCGAGTTTTAGTCGTTGCGCTAATTTTCGGGTGTCCCCTTTTCTGTTTTTAAGTTGTTTCTTTTTCTGCTCATTAGTTTTGCCCCGAACACGATCTCTCTTTTCATTGTATGGTTCCTTTCACAATGTTAAAACCTTTCATTGTTTATTCTTGTGTTGCAAAGCGATGTGAGCTTATTTACTAATCACTGTCGTGTATTTCCCGAAAGAGCTCAATGAAATACCCGTGCCATTTAGCACAACTGTCCATTTTCCGTTTGGTTTACATTGTGTTATGCGTTGATTTTGTACCATGGTTTATATACACTTGTTCTGTAAGCACTGTTGCCTGAACTTGGCCTATAGGACGTTCTGTTAATGTTCATTAGAAGCACCAACTTGCTGATGAGATTGACCTTTGCGATTCGCCACCCGAGTTGATTCGAGGGGATCGCGGCTGTGACGACAAGGAAAAGAAGGAAGCAGGCGGCTGTTTCGCCAATGGCGCAGGGCCACTCAACTCGGCTGAGCTCTCTGGGTGCGTGGTCAAAGATGATGAGTCGAATGAGTGTGGTTCGCTGATTGCCGTATCTTCCGAATGTCTCCTGTCCTCTTCTGTTGTTCAGGTTCGAGCATCATTACTTTCTGATGAGTTGGCTGATATTCGTGTGTGCATATTCTGTTTAAGATATGCTATTCGCATCGGTGGACTTTAACTACAGCATTCATGTCTTAATTCATTTATTGTCTAACAGTAGCGATTCCTATGCCCGTGTCACGTTTCTTGAAATTGAACCTCCTTTATCAAGTGGTATGCCATACTATAGCTGTGTTTGTTGAATACCACTTGGTCTCGACCGTTATAAACCGCAACATGGTTTGTCGAACCACAGGTGCTTGATACTAATCGACGACTATTCGTTGACTAACCTCTATTCAGATAATGTAAAAACTGATTTAATCGGCTGTTAGGTTGGCTTCCTAGGTACTTGTTTTCAGCGCAATTTAACCACTTTTGCTAAAAGTGACATGTCATTTCAGGCTGAAAACAACACCGTAACCTCTTCCACACCTGGCCCTCTGGTGAGTGGTCTACCACTGAAATCAACTGAAGCTCCACGACCGGCATCGCATGGGGAGAAAGAGCGTGTAAGTGAGGCCGGGGAGGAGGAAGAGGAGGAGGAGGACGATGATCGCCCGTTGGTCGTCGATCTTGGCGAAAGTTTCAACCTCTCGTCGTCTAGCGCTTCTCCTCTAATCACCTGTGAGCTCTCATGCTCTCCGTACCCATAGATAAGCCACTTAATTTACTTGAAATCTCGTGTGTGTGTGTGTGCGCGTCTCAGTCTAGTCTTGTGATCCACGACATATGGCGTATCCTGTCTACTTTTGCAAATATGGCATTTGCTCGCAAATCACTTCCTCCCTACTCTGCCACCCGTTCGCCCGCCCTCCCGTCCGTTATTCACTTACGTCTGCGTAGGAGTGTCGTGGGACTTGCCACCGTGTGGTTTGTTTGTCAGTGTCCACCGTGGGCTGCTGCCCTACGCGTTTTAAACTACCGTCGACACGACACATGCTTAATCCCCCAATTGTTCCTCCTATGATTAGCCATTGTCGGCAACCAGGAGAAAGGCCCACTCACTGCACCCCTTCCGGTTGCGTCCCCCGCGAGTGCCCAACCGGTGCTCCTCACTGCTCACGAAGCCCCAGAGGCGTCTGCCAAACCGCCGACTACCGTGGCTTCGAAGTCGACGACTGTGCCTTCTTCTTCTACTTCATCTCATTCAACCACTGGCGCAGCCCCACCCAACCTGACCACAACAACAACCCCCGCTCGTGTACAGAAGGCCATTCGGCCTCTCCTGACTCCGCATTTGAATTCGTAAGCTATGCAAACCCATTCACACACCCGCATGTGCTGTTTCTATCTGTGAATCTCACGTTCTAGTAATTGTGCAATAATTTCTACTTGATCAAATTCGCTAAACTAGTTTCACAATGTCGTGATTTGTGGTTAAACCAAAGTGTATTCATCATCAGGCACTAAAATGCGTTTTAATGCTTCATTAACTAATGGCTTAGTGTGTAATGTGTCTGCGGAATTAGTCGTTCTCTAGATATTTCATTGAGCGCATGCCTAAACGGTCAAGTTTAATGTAGTATGAGTGCGAGCCGTGAATCAGTAAACAATCGCCTGGTTGCCGGTCCACATAAGGTCACTGTGTTTGCTTAGTAACATGGAAAAAGGCTTTCACGGGGTGTGGCGAATGGTTTAATTTTTCCCCTTGTGGAAATTTGCTGATTCGAAGGCGGTTGGCGCGCGTAATTGTGACAACGCAACTCAGACGTTAACCACAAATTACACATTTGTGCATCTGGAGCATTACTCTTGTTGTTGCTGCAATCAATTTTAAGTTCTTGGTTCAGATGAAACACGTGGTGTACACGGCTTGGTGCTGCGTGAGTTGTCGAATCAGGTGACACCTTACCAAGGTCACGTCAACCTTTTCGGCATCCACTATCACGAGATTGGTTTTTTTTATGCAAAAAACTCACGTGACTTGAGATTCGGGGGATTACATCAAACACGGAAACCCCGTGAGCATAATCTCCGACAGGCCTAATTTACTCTAAGCCAAGCTCTCTCAGAATCCGAGGCGTGATTATGCGGTTGCTCAAGTTTTGGTGAACGGTTCTGCAAGTATTTAGTATTACTGCACGTTGGTTTACGATGTGTCCATTTTAAGCAAAACCAAAACATTGGCCGGGTGTTATGCCAACCCATTTGCACTCGGTGCGTTGTTTAGACTGGAAGGCATGCATGCGGCCGCGCCTTCCGTCGGTAGCGCGAGTCTGGCGACGTCTCACTTTGTCGGTCAGTCGCCGGCCGGGACGATTCGCCTACAGGCGATTCAATCGCACCCGCCGCCACCAGCACCGCCGCCGCCGCCGCCACCCACCGTCGCTGTCTCGGGCCCCCAGACCAACGGGGTGCAGTTCATGTCCGTTCTCTCCGCCCCCCCGGCGGCGGGACCCTTTGGCCGCCCCCCACCACCCTCCTCCGTGGCTCCATCGCCAATTCACCTCTTCAACATTGGTCCGATGCCGAGTTACCTGAGTAAGACCTGCGCTCCAATGTTATTGGCTCTTGTACAAACTCTGCTTTTTAGTCCCCTCACCTACGCCGAACCGACCTCTCTCCCTGCATTGGTCACCTTTAGAAGGCTTCTATATTATGCCGCTTCATCTTGCAGACGCAGCTCCGGGCATGCTGTTCCAATCGATACCGGGAGCGACTGCACCCCCACCACCGCCGCCGCCTCCACCACAACCTCCGGGCAATTTTCAGTTTGCTCCTCATCCTCCTCTCTTCTCAGCGGCTGCGGCGGCGGCGGCGATGGCAGCTGCGGGAGGGCCCTCATTCGGTAACCCCCACTTCGCTCGACCTCCGACAATGTCGACGAGTCTTCCTCCTCCACCTCCACCGCCATCGTCCCTCGTTCCCGGTCTGCCGCCGATGTCGCGCGTAGCGACAAGGCCCCAAACTCTTGATAAGGATGCAAGTGGCGTTTTTTTCACAATGACTCACCTACCACTGAACCAGACCATTGTTTTCATTTGATCAAACACCAGCCCCCATCTGACCGCCGCTTTCTCGTTTCAGTTGACTGCGATGGTGCCACCTCCAGGGAGTCTATTTATCCCCGACATGGGCAGTTGGGTGGCAGCGGTGACGTCTCAGCGCGCTCCGCCTCCTCTCCCGACCCTCTTCCCGCCGCATCTATCACAGATCTCCACGGCGTCGTTCTCCGTCGCAGATCCAATCTACTCCTCTTCTGCCTGTCGTCTGACGGCGCCTCCTCCACCAACGCCGCCTCCCCGCTCCGAAGCCAAGCTGCCTCTACCGCCCGCCGCTTCGACTGCTGCGGTAAGTCCGCGACATCGCATGCAGAGAAGTGTGTGCATGTCTGCTGGCTGAGTTTAACCAATCCGACGCTAGCGCTTGCCCTTATCGTAATTACGCCTTGTGCAGAAGCCTTGTGTGATCTGCAATCAGGCGAGATAGACCACAGATACACATGCACACGCGCCGTTCTTACTTGCCAGCACACATTTGCGTCTTACAGACGCCGTCGACTGGGGCCGACGTTGCCTTGTCGTCAGCTGGTCCTGCAAACATCACCACCGCCGCCTCCGCGACCACTTCCACGCCCTCGTCCAACGTCTACTCTGTCTCAGCGCGTCGTTGGAGGCCGTCAATCACGCGGAAGAATAGTTCCACCTCTTCCACTCTCGTCACTGCCGCCTCCCAGCCGCAGACACCCGTCCTACCACCACCACCATCAATTCAAGTGGGTCATTTCAAATTGATTAATTTTATTCAAATTGCCTTATTTTGGGCCCCTACATGTGGTCTTGAACCCCACCGGGGCCACGGAATTAACTCTGGCCTGAATACGTTTTCCTGATATCTGCGATGAAGGAAAAGACCGGAGAGGACGTGGACACAACCGTTTACTTCAGCGCTCAACCATGTTGGCGTCGTGTGTGGCGTTTGCATGTTTGTGTGTGTGTGTGTGTGTGTGAGTTATACATGCGCTAACATCGAGACCTAGGTGTTAGGATGATCCAAGATAAATATCCGTGTGAGAATGAAGGAGGAGTTAAGGATCCGCCCAGCTGGCGAAAAGGGGAACCCTGTGTCGGTGGTGGAGCGACCGGATTAAGAGGTTTGAATAAAGACGTTTCACAACAGCCTTAATGGTCAATCAACTCACCACCTCGTTGAATGTCTGGTTTCTCAGTCCACTTGTCCATCATCAGCTGGTAATCAGTCACACTAATCCGGCCATCTGTTACCTTTGCGTACTGCGCCTCGACGGACTTCGATGTAGCCAATGCTGAGGTGATTGTCGATGGTAGGCGTGCAATGATTCTAGCACCTTTATTGCCCTTTGTACCAGCCGCACGCACGCACGCACTCACACGGTCCTTCTTCTGTCGCGGTCGCAATTCAGCGGGCATCTGTAGCTTGGGATCCGAATGTGGGTTTACTCCAAGCTAACATTGCACACGCGACAAGGCAGACGTCGCGTTGAGTAGCAAGCCAAATTAGTATTGTGGAGAGCACGCTTTAACCTGCGAAACACGCCCAACGCGTGAGGACTCAAACATATGCTCATTTCCTTAACTTAAATTCGAATCCGATTGGTGCTAGTGGTGAGTTCTAGCACCACGCAACACCCTCTTCAGAGGTGTGCGTGTTTTCATCATCATCATCATCATCACTTGATCGGCAGGAATTGCCCGCGCTCCTGTTGGCGTGCCTCCTATCCCCGAAAAATCAATGCCATCTTTTTGCACAACGCACGCACTTCGTATTTGTCTTCAAACACCCACGCGTTCTGTTTTGCCTGGTCACAGCTGGCGCCGCTCGGCAGTTAGTAATCTAATGCGTCACTGTGTCATTGTTCAGAGCGCAGTTCAACTCACAGGCCGTGTGATCTGTGGCGAGAAATGCGACTGAAATGACAACGTAGCGATCTCTGAACGAACAGATTTGTGTGATGCGCATTCACGTAAACCAATTCAATCATGTTCGTTCACGCTTGCTAACTGTGCTCGCCTCAGATGTTTGGATTTGGCGTCTTTTCTAGTCAACACCTTCGTCTTCGCTCCTCCCTTCAACCGCGTCGTTGACCCCTTCCACCACCACCGCGGCAGCTGCCGGGAACTCGTCTTGTCCCACGCCGATGTCCCAGCTACCTCCGGATGCAGGCGACGCAGACTGCGTTGACGGCAGGTATGTCAGGCTATGGTGTTGACCTCTTTTTTGTCCGAATTTGAGTGCTCAAAAGGCTCCGTCCGATGACGCCTAGGCTTCAGGAGGAGGTGGAGGAGCCGATGGACATTCCACCTGCATCTGACTTGGCGCAGCCTTCTCCGCCGACGCCGCCGAAGCAGCTGGAACCCGCGAGGGACGATCTGGTACCCCGTCTGTCGCCCCCGTCTCGCCTTGACAGCGACTCGCACAAGTCCCGTGTGTCCAAGGTAGCCGCGACTACACCACCACCTCCCCTCTCGCCGTCATCGTCGCCCCCAGCAACCACGTCTCCACTGGCTCCGGTGCGCAGGAAAGTCATCGCTCACGTCATCGACGGTCACGTGCTGTACGAGAGCAATCTGCCCTTTCCCGTGAGTCCTTGAGGCGGTTGCGGTTGCTTCCCTCCGCTCGATCAGCGAGGGTCTTCTTGTTGTTGTTCAATGTAGGTTCGAGACGCGATGGCAATCGTGGAGGCGACAATGCGACAGACCCGGCTTGCTGGAGGCAAACGCGAAGACGAGCTGATGGCGACGGATTCGCGACACAAGCCCGCCGCCAGTCTAAACGGAACAGCTGCCAGGGATTCATCCACCGCCAGCAGCAGCAGCAGCAACACCAGCATCGCGACACTCTCTCCTGTGATAGTTGCCAAGCAACAGCCAATGGGCGCGCCGGAGGGTGGAGCGCCGCCAGCCAATCACCGCAAGCGTCGTTCATCGAGGTCGGCCGTGGCCAGCGTCGTTGCCTCTCCGCCGCCGCTGCCGCCTCCCCCCCCTTCCTCTTCCCCTCTCCCTCCTGCTCGCACGCTTTCTGTCAGCAGTGTGGACGAAAGGAAACGCAAGAAGTCCGTCGTCACCACCGCCGCCGCCGCTGATGGCGACTTGCCGTCTGTCGTCCCCACGCACAACGGCCACGGTGTGCCTTCTGGTACGTCTTGTAATGGCGCATTGTGTGGTTGTTAACGCGCAAAATTAGCGCCAATCAAGGCATTGGCCGCACCTAATGCTGTCTCATGGCTTGTAATTACGTTGTAATGAATACTGAATCGCGAGCTTCTTGTGTGATCCCAGTTGTGTTGTTGTGGAGGCAGAAAGATCTCTCGAAAACCCATCATGTTTCGCAACATCTTCACATCTAATTGATCACCATTCAGAGCTCACTTCTCAGTCACTGCTACTTAAATGCAATAAGTACGTAGTATGTTTTAGTCTTTCAAATGCGTGCTCATGTGCAATGTTCACATTGTAAATTGACAATTTCGCCAAATCGGCAAGTTTTTATGCCACAAGCACGAACCTCAAGGATCTTTCGTAGGTCCGAATTCCTCTGCAACGACGACCGCATTGCCAAATCCCTCGACGTCGTCTTCGGGCGCGCTGAAATTGACCCTCCACCCAGTGTACCATGGGAGCACAGCGTCTGCGCAGGCCGCTTCCCCGTCAAAACCGCCTCCCTCAACAGTGAGTCAGACACCATCTTGTGGTCAATTGTGTCTCCTCATCGCTCCCAATTTCTCAACATGCTTGATTGTGTGTTCGGTAGATGCCACCGCGGCAGCCGCAGCCTCCTTCCGCCGCCGCAGCACCCTCAAACCAACTGCCACCGCCCCCTCCGCCGCCACCCCCGTCTGGTCCGGTGGCGAGCTGGTCGCCCGAGAAGGTGGCTGAGTTCGTGCGCGACACGCCGAGCTGCGCGAGCTACGCCGAGGCCTTTCGGCAAAACGAGATCGACGGCGAGGCGCTCATGCTCCTCACGCCCGCCCAGTTCGTCAACCCGCCAATCGGCATGAAGATCGGCCACGCCCTCAAACTGGCCGATCGGCTGCGTCAGGCCCAGCTCCTCCGAGGCACCAGTCGCCCCGCCACGTGACCCCCCACCGCCACCCACCCCCTGCGCGCGCGCGTGCGTGCGTGCGTGGCCCAGATGATACCAACACATACACACATTTGTCACACCTTCCTCGTGGTCTCTTGTGTCTGGTGGCGGGCGGGTTGTTCACGGGGTGCTCCTGGTTGTTGAATGTCTGTACACCAGTGGAGGACTTGGCAATTCTTCGCTGTTCTTATTCTGTTTTTTAACCAATCACATTGCGTGATCCTTACTACTGATTACTGGTCCGCGAATTAAGTAGTATAGGGGTGTTTTATGAGTAGTGTCGTGTTGACTTTAGGCCAAGTGAAGCCTGGTTGTCTAGTTCGTGAACGGTAACTAAACAACAGACGCTGGTAATTCTATGAATAATAGTTCTGAAGGTGTTTATGCTGTTTAGGACTCTGTAGGATGGGATTAATGTTGCATTTTTAACGAAATCTTATGAAATTCTGCTTATTGACGCTCCAACCCTGTCGCATTTTGGAAAATGCGATTGAACGATCGACTAGAGAGATATCGATTTTAGTCACGATGCCACATTCTCCAGGTGTCGCTTGAACGGTCGTTTAGAGTAATATCGATTTCATTGACGATGCCACGTTCTCCGAATGTCACTTGAACGATCGATAGAGTGATATCGATTTCGCTCACAATGCCACGTTCTCCAGATGTCACTTCCTTTAGAAACCACATTTTTGTAGCTGTTGCCCACTTATTTAACAAATTGTCCAACAATGCATCTGTTTGTTCAGTAGAAAGGGCAGTTTGTCAGAGATGTGGATTTCTGGTAAATTAATGAACATAAACTAGGTTCCTGATTAAGTAATCAGAAATATTCTCATGTCTTACTGCTGCTGGTTTGATTTGGCCTCACTTCTACGGCGTTCGGAGTTTTCATCGGCGTCAGCTAATCAATTTTATTAAATCTTTAGATTGTTTTGTCTAAAAGTAGCGCGTATTTTGTTCTAATGCTCGGCATCAAATTTCATTGGGCGATCTCAAGGGAGAAATGTCGTCGTTGCAGAATCGCTTTCTCTGCGTGTAGAAACATTTCCGATTTCATGAATAAGTAAGTGGGTCGTTTGATGCCCTCCGATGATAAAATCGTTACTCAGGAGAATTTGTTTACGTTGAGTTAGCACGGGGTGATGGTGGACTTCATTCAGTTTTGGTCGGTGGATTCTCTTCATTTTTTCTGGACGCGATTGGTCAGTGCCATTTGGTGAAATCCGTGCGACGTGATTGGCTACCATTCTAACCAATCGGATTTCAGGTAGTGTAGATCTCGTCCAATCGGAGATGCCACAAACTCCTGGCCTGTGCTTGTCGTAATTGTATTAGAAAAGATATCACGAATTCATTTGTATCAAAAGTTGCTCAATTAACTAATTATCTGGATATCTTATTTCAGGGTGCTGTAGATAACAGAATGCAAAAATGGTATTGCTTTCATTTCTTAATCGACCCTTCGAATCCATAAAAAGTAAATTTAAAAATCTCAGTGAACCTAATCTTCTTCCACACAGGAACCAATCAGAGCTCAGATTGCAGTCATCCAATGAGCTTCGAGTTCACTTAGTTTGAATAAACTGCTACTGCCAACGATCGAGTGCAGCGGTTTATGATCGTTTCAGAATACCCTTGTGATTGTGCGCATGTGCTTGATGGTCAACTCCCTTCCACTCTGAGTCTTTAAATGTGTGCCACTTTCCAGACTCGGAAACTCGTGGGACAGTGCAAATGCATCCCATTAATGTTTATTAGGGAACAGAAATTATCACACTGCTAAAGGAGTTCGTATTGGACAAAAAGGCAACCGGTGGGAGTGATGCGCGGTAAAAATTACCTCCGGTGAATTTGTGAATATTAGAGTCCCCCAGGGGTACAAAAAATACCTCGGTAATTTCCCCTGTTTGCGTACACACCTTCTAGTTGCATGTGAAATTCATTAATTCCGTTTTTAAGTTGCTTATCTTGACAGGTATGTAACGATGTTTGGTAAATGTAGCACGCGCTACGTAAGCAATAACCGTCAGGCAATCGCTACATTGCAGCCAAGGTTCACTACGCGAATGTGGGCCAAAGTAAGTGAAATTTCGCAAAGCCAACTTCTGGGGTTTTTTAAAATTAACATCTCAAGCTTTATAGAGCGATAAGTTTCCATTTTCTGACGCATATAAATATTAACCCCCGTATCACAAGTCGTCATTGGCTTAAATGACACTGTGATACTACAAATGAAATCGATTTGTTAGGAAACAGCAAAATCCGCCTAAATATCACAACTCATTCAATAATGTTACAGTGACAGTCAAAAATGATGCCAACGAAATAACTAACAGTACTGGTGTGGACTGAGCAGGCAATATTGCTGTCTAGACATCCTTTACAAAATCCAGTGTCACGAACAATTACATCAAATCCGCCAGTGTAGCCAACTGACCATTTCATCAACCACATTGCTGCTTTACCAGTTTTTTTTTAATGAGCGATCCTTAATTCTGATCCCAGATAACTCATTTCGGCTAAACGCGAGTTTATTAAGTCACTCTAAAAGAAGATTATGGTGAATACTAAAAGCGCTATTAACGTTCAAGCCTTCGCCTTCGAACCAGGAAAATTTAAACTGAAAACTCTGGTAAAAGTCAAGAATTAGATATGAGAATCGTGAAGTTAAATTTTTTAATGAGAGCAACTAATAAAAGATCGAATTTTTAGGTTTAAATCCATCAACTTAATTAACACTCATAGTTGCGCCTTTAAATCCAAATATGAAGTATTTAACATGTCTATTAATGGCTACGGTGCTGAAATAAAGGCCGTGTAGTTTAATGATTCTTAAATCGAATAATTAATCAATGATAAATCAATCAACAAACCTAATTCTCTAAATGTCGTGCGCCCTCATTTTAGCTGGGTTTAGGCAATTTTAACCTTTATTTCGGTGCTTTACAAAAAACAGTTCTAAAAATGAGAGGAATCAGCCAACAGATGCGATTTTGTCGCTTTGCACGGAAATAACAACTACGCGTGAGGTCGTATAAATTCGTATTTAAGTGCGGTGATGTCCGACGTGGACAGCTGTTTCGACCTGTGCGACTGAGTCGCCCAAAGTGCATCGCTCGAATTGACCGCCACGAAGCCCAGCTTACATTGTCCAATCAAAATGCTGCTTTTCATTCAATAAAACACATGATTTCGACTTGCCTCATTGGGCACTCCCACGTCGACAGGTCAGCCGCGTTTATTTTAAAGAACTGTTAAATCGCTTTTCATGTTTGAACGATTGATTTTGACTTCACGAGAATCCGCGCTACTTGAGAGAATTACTATGACCTTGACTTCCGGAGCCAACGAAAAACATTGTGACAAAACATTGTGAAAGATTAGGAACATTGACATGAGGTCGCTCTCATTTTGCCATCCGAAAATTGGGTTAACACAATTTGGTTGAATTTAGGCCCGTAAACGTTTCGACCATCCTTATTCTGAATTCGCTGCCATTTTATTATCAATCACTAAACAAAAATCTAGCACTAAATATGCTACTTTAATTGACTCCGTTATTAGTAGTAGATTTATAGTAAGCTAACATAATCGAAGTTATTTATACCACACGAACGACGTCCAACTACTGTCAAAGATTTCGCCAGTTGACGGTTTTCTACGAATTGACTTCATACGATGCTAACCGCAACAAACTACCTCGATTAACCAATCAAAGAAGTTTGTCAGAAAATTTTAAATACCAGTATTTGTCGCTGAAAAAGGTTCTTTTCAGTAGTGCATAATGATTAGAATTAAATTCACTAATTGGTATTTTGATTTCTTACATACATGGATTCGCTTGGCGTTTGAAAAGTGGTGAATCACGAATTATTGATGGGCCAATTTCGAATCCCGAACTGGTTTCTGAAGCAACAACATTAATTACTAAACAACCAATCACCATCTACCAGACGAACCAATAGCGTATGCACTTGCATTGGAAGCAGTTAGTTTTGCTTAGAGCTGCTTTTTGGGTAGAAAGTGGGTCACCTTAGGCCCGGTTATTAGTTCTGAATTACTGCAAAATTGTTTCATCTTATTTCGTTAAAAAAAACTATGTTCTGATGTGCTTCTAATTGCGTTCGGCATTAAAGCCTTAAGTTGCCAAGTGTAACAATTCCGATGTAGCCATAACCACTAACCTTGCAACTTAATTTTGCAGGCATCGACAATCCAGAGATAATTTACACCCTCAAATTTTCCCATCCAGTTAACATCGAAAATATTAAGGCAGCAAGTAGTTCAGTTGTTTGAATGAGTCAAAAAATCAATATCGAGATGCCTTTACAACTGCGCGCCACCCACTCCTTAAACTCCACGCAGAGATTTAAACAAAAATCGATATTTTAAATGTCTTCTTAAACTACTTCCACTACTCAGTCACCATAAAGGGATGCTTAAAACGTTTAAATAAATCTCTGCACATGCAAACGTTCTACGCGTTAAAATGCAACTCTAAATGAGTTAGTCTTATTTAAGCCACCATTATTTCCGCTTGTTTAAATTATTATCAATACAGAGGATTTGAATTTGCCTGCAGCAGAAGAAATCGATTCCGGTTTTGAGGTGTAAGTTAAAATTTGCATAGGAGAGCGCTAACCCAATATATGCTGGGCATGAGACGCAACGTGTCGATTTGGTTCCATAAATTTCCCCGTACACGTTGCAGCAGTGTGTGTGACCGTGGATTTACCTTCAATGCCCCCTCACTGCATGTTTCTGTAACGGTATCTCAATTAAATTTCACTAAATGTTTGGCTGATTTTCTCGTAGTTTGTGCTGATTCATCATGCTCAATCCAAAGTCACGTTTAATCGATTTTATTGTAGCCGATCGATTTTTTCCTTACCAAGCAAAATTATGGCGCGCTATGTAATTGGCTTAGAAAAAGGTATTCACCGTTTTTTGTGTTCTGCATACAAAATATTTTTTATAAATAGTTGTCGACA